CTGCAGGAGCGAGAACGTGGGAAGAAAGCCTGTTTCGGTGCCGCACACACAGTTAGGGGGTTTCACTTCATAGAGGGAGTGAAAATGCCTGTTTGTTAATCACAGCCGTGCCACAGGGCAGGCAGGAAAGGACAGGAAATACGACCACATTCCTTAAGGCTTCGGTGCTGTTCAAACTGGGACTGTGTGAGCCCGGGCTCAGCTGTGATGATACTGGCAGGTCTGCAGTTAGTGCCCAGTGAGGAGACCCGGTTCGGTGGGGATGAGCGACAGGAGTCCTCCAACAGCAACTGGAAATGGAGAGAGTCTTCAAAGTGTAGAATCAGCCTTACGTGTTTCCCTGGCAGCACTGAGGTATAGGACGTCAGTAGTGCTGAAAAATGATTTAATTTACAACAGGCACAATTTATTTAAAGCCCGGTTTGAGTCTTTTTTTTTTTTTTTTTTCCCCAGCATGTTTATGCTGCTTGTCAACTTAAAGTTGCATTAGCTTTCCCACGACAAGGAAACCTGTTTTAAATGAACTGTTCTTTTCAACAACTACTCTCTCATCTGAAAATGCTGTTACTTACATTTTCCTGCTCCCTGCAGGCTAGTTGGACTTAGATGACCTCTGAAGGTCCCTTCCAACCCAGACAATTTTATATTTACTGAACAGAGAAAAGCAGATCCTTCAAAGCTGGGAGGAAGGAGATAAATTACAGAACAACACAGCTTCTTATATTCCTAGTATTTGGCAGTTTCCTACCTAAGTTGTACTTAACATTTGTTAAACTTAGTAATGCTTGAGTTTAATGTCTTGATTCACTTGTCCAGACGTACATTTCTGTAACTGGATTATTTGTGCATATAGTGCACACTATATAGAATAGAATTCTAGATAGAATTCGTTCTGAAAAACCTCTGGTCAGAACTTTTTTTACAGTAGAATGAATGATCAGTGGGGAAGGATGGTTTGCTGTCATGTTATTTACCCCATTGACAGGTACTTGAATTTGGAGGGAGAGCAAGAATTAAACAACTGAACCTTAAGTGGAGACCAGACAAGTGAAATGTCAATCCCCAAAATATTAAAGGTAAATGAAGGAACTGAGTCAGAAATTGCTTTCAGACCTTCAGTCCTTTTTCAGTCCTTGTAGGACTTAATGAGCCTATGTGAAAAAACATCCACTGCCACTTGTTCTTAGTGATTTCTTTGACTGGTCTTGTGTTAAACTGTCTAGAAAGGGCAACAGAGGTATAATTAAAAATACATATCTATAGAGACAACATTTTATACTGTTTTCATTTGTTTGAACAGTCAGCTAGACTAGACTAGTATCTGCTGTCATGCTTGTATATCTTCCTCTTAGGGGAGGATATGAATGAACACAGGAAAAACCAGCAAAAGTGGTGCTTAAAGTAGGGTAAATGCAATATGGTGAGGCTTTTCAGAAGGAAATCATAGGACGCCACATCCTAGGAACTTAAATTAAAAAGTCATCCCCTCTTAGTGTTTAAAAGTTATTGAAAGTAATTGAAACCTCACTGCTCATTGAAGAGTCCTGTACGTCTCTGTATTCAGAGCTGCTGTCAATCTAAAGTTTCATCTCAGAAAACTGGATTGCTTTAGCAAGTGCTGCCTCTTCTGTATTGTTGTGGTCTTAGTCTGACCTGTCCTAAAATCATGTGTCCAAGAGCAGGTAATTTCCAGTTCTGGGTGTTGTTTTGCAGCAGGAGCTTACTGTCCTGGATGGAATGTTACACTTACAGGATCATATAATAGAGAAGTTAATATTAATAGATTTTTTTTGTGTGTGTGTTTAGAACCATTTCAAATTACAGAGTAGCATGTTCTTTGGCAAATGACATATCAAACATGCCAAATGCTGTTTTGTTTTGTTTTGGGGTTTTCTTGTTTGGGTTTTTGAAGGTGAGAAATATTATTGATCTTAAAACATTTAAAGTGCATTAGTATTTGTCCTTTGGTGGCATCTACTGAAGTTAGTCAAGGACCAACACTTGTCAGCATAGACCTTGTTTGTGAAGGCAGGCCAGGACCCAAATTTGGAACAGTGCAGTCCAATTGTTATCTCTCTTATTGCTTCAGTAAATCTTCATTGGCCTCCAGGCAAATGCAGCTTTAGTTTCTGTAGTGCATCAGGTGTAGAAACAGCAGACTGAAAGTATAGGAAGGATCCTGTTGTGTAGGATGTTGCATAGAGTGCTGGTTAAAAATCTTGAGGCGACCTGTTGTGACCTGACCAAATCACGGTGGAAAACTGCTTGCTTGGAGAGAGGAAGGCTGTTAACATCTAGTGCAAAATTCCTGGAGGTGAAAGCAATGAGGGAGGAAGGAAAGAACGTTTGACCTTGGGTTTGAAAGGGGATATCTAAATTTTAGCACTGCTGCTGCTCAGAAGCCTCTTTCAGTTCCTTGTCATAGCTGCTTTACCCTTCCCTTCTCAAGTTCGCTGAAATGAGCAGTGTTGTCTCATGCTGATGCTGCTTTTTTATCTTGGTACATGTTATAAAAACAGCAGAGACATTCACCTCAAAATAGCACGTGGTCAGAATTTCAAGGCTTATATAAGAATCTAGGTGCTAGGATTCTTTCCATAAACGTGACAGAGTTCTTTGTGGGCTCTCTTACACTTGCCCTGCATGTTAAGAGGGACTTTATTGTACCAAGCTGCCAGGCAAGAAGAGAACAATTTTGTGGATCATCTTTCACAGTGCTGAGGGAAAGAAGTGAGATACCATCATAAGAGAACCCATTTGAACCATGAATTTGTCACTTGCAGAGTGGTTTGCTAAACTACCCGTAGCTTTGGCTTCTAATTTATTGTGTGCTATATTGCTAAAAGGACTGTCACCTCTCTACTCTCATACCTGCTCAATAAACTAATAGGCATATTGCAATGGTGTGTAGAGTCCTCTGAGTTTAGTTTGTGTAGCAACGAGAACACCCTTACGAGACCCAAGCAAGCAACTGAAAACAGGATAAAACTGCTTATTAGTTTTTAAGAGAGCGTAATTGAGTGGGTAATTGGAATGTACATGAAGAATTTCATCAGTTTTGAGAATACAATCACAGTTCTAATCTTCATTTTGACTGGTAGCTGATACATGTTCAAATTTTGGCTTCCAGTTGAGCTGTTAATACTGTAAGAAGATGCTTTTGAGTCTGCATAGGGTCATTTCCATAGAAAGTAGCTAAAACAAGTAAAACTGAAAGATATCAAAGGAGTAGATGGGGAAAGACAATTGAGGATCGCTTGCTTTGATCTGACTTTCAGTGACTGTCCAGTCTCTTTCTGTTCACAGTGTATGTTTCTCATTTTTTTTTGGACTTGTTACTGTGGGACTAAAAGTTAAGACAGCCTCTCCTCAGAACGTAACTGTGGCCTATGGTCTGTGGCCTCAGCTTCCTAGTATTCTCTGGGCATTCCTATTTCAGTGATGTTCCTGGTACTTTCCAGGACTTGCCTTTGGGATTGGCCTGTGCTTAACACGAGTCAGGTTTGAAGACTAACCTTTTTTGATACTCTACTCTTTATTTCTTGCTCTAAAGACTGCCTCTTCCCACGCAGCAGGACTAATAAAGAATCTCCAGGATCACTGTAATTGCTGAAATCTCAGTTACCAGCTGTGCAAATAAACAGTCTTGTGAATTGCTGTAAATATGCTTCAGAAACACAGTTGTAGGAAGATATCATTGCATTAGTTTGTGTAAAGCTTTTCTCCCATCTCTGCCCACCAAGTCCAAAGATATGTTACTTTTTCTACTTTGTGACAGTATTGTGTCTCTCATGCCCTAGAAGTACAGTCATTCTGATTTTTCATTTTAAAAGGATGAGCTTCTGGCAGTCTTTTGGCTTTAGCGAGTTGGTTTATAATTAATGTACACATTAATGTAATTCGGGGCTTTCCAGAGACTCCCAGATTAGAAATATATTAAGAAATCATTGGCTAGTAAGGACAAAACTCTTCATCAGCGGTTAGCATGATACAAATATTAAATAATAACCATGGAAAACAATATCCTTCTACTTCCTATTCATGTTTGTTTCTAATTTTCTTTCTCAAAGGTTACAGCTACTGTGTTCCTGTTTGATTTGGATGAACCCATAGGGTTATGAGTCCCCCATAAACATGACTACTGCTCCAATTTTGATCTCATATAAGGGAGTTTCAGGCTGTATTGAGATGCTACTTGTGGTTTAGTTGCCTGTCTCTTTTAATTACACTTAATTCTGATTTGAGACATTTTGTGTGTCAACCTCAACCCAATTGTATTCATGACACACTTGATTAGGTACCCTCCTTCTTGTTATGGTTTACCTGTTGGAACATCTGGTCTGTCTTGAAGTTCAGAGTAACTTTGTAGTGATCCACCTCTTTGACAACAGTCAGGTTAGATACTCAATTTAGAATTTTTTTCAGTAACCAATTATTTTTCCTCTCTTCTTCAGTATGTTCCAAGTCATTCCTTCACATAAGGTCAGCAAGTGCGTTTGGATTCCTGTAGACAGGATGTACTGAAACAGTAATGATAAAGAAGATGAACAGGCACTGTTGTCCAGGAAGCCCAGTATTTTGTGTAACTGAACATGTGTTAAGTATCTCAGTGTTAACTGCTATTATTTAGGGTTTACAGCTTGTTGGGGGAACTGAGAAAAGAGAAACAGAGATTAGTCTATTGCAGTAATGCTTAGTAAATTTTGTCAGTTGTTGTGTGTAGGGACTGCTGCAAGTGCAGGTGTGGAAAGACTATCAAAAGTTCTTGCAGTGCCTTTAGCATTTATCCAGTTTGTATTTCCAGTGTGGTTTTCACTTCAAAGGCTATAGAAAGCTCAAAGAACATAAGTAGTCCCACAAAGTATTTTCATTACAGGGTATGCTTACAGAAAATTGAAATTATTAAGAAAAACTCGCTACGTTCTAACTAGAAAAATACTAGCACAAACAGATGCTTTATTATCACAAATAAAATCAAGCTAAACAGAGTAATGGAATTTCTGAGAGCTACAATCCACCTAGCATCCTTGGCCTGCTGTATTGCATTTCCATTCTTGTACATCTTAATCTCAAAAGGCAAACTGTAGGACAAAATTTTGCTGTGTTTTGATCCTAAATTGTTTAAAAGAGGAACTTAATTACAGTGTTTTATCATACGAAGTGCTTGTGCAGCTATTTGTGCTCTGGCTCTTTACACTTTTTTTCTCATTTTAAAATATTTTTAAATTCTCTTCCATTCCTCTGTGAGTGTTCAGATTTGATGTATTCTTCAGAAACTTAGAAAAACGCTCTATTCTTTATTGCACTATAGTGCTTAAGTTACACTGGGGTATTTCACAGCATATTTTGCTGGAAACACTGGACACATGGCTCCACCTTTAATATAGATCAATCTCATGCCAGGTGCTGATGAATTTAAGAAGCTCAGTAAGTCTTTTTCTCACCAGTATGTCTAGAAGATGATGTAGCAAGGCAGCTAAGGATACTTGACTCAATTAACTTACTTTAACAAGTTCCTCAGCTTGGAAAAAAGCAGTTGTCTGTGGCTTGATTTACCTCATGATGCTCATTACCTCATGATACCTCATGACTGATCTCATGATGCTCTTTCTCTGTGTATTGTAGAAACTGGTTGCAGATCCCTGAGCTAAGAAAGCTCTGAAAAAATAAACCCAAAAAGATGGGTGAAGGTTTTGTTAGTGCTCATCTAATAATCTGTGTAATTTCTACCAAAAGTTTCTTAAAAAAACCTTGGAACAAAAAAAATAAGGAAAACTTCAAGAAGGTAAAAATCCGAAATAAGCCATTATAAATTGAATTAGAAAATGTACAGAATAGTTCTTCATATACAGAATGCTCAGATACCAACATGTAATATACTTGCTGCTTGTAATATGGACAAGTACTAGTACACAGTGCTCATTTAATTTGGGTGAGCAGAACCCCTGTAATTTTAGGGTTTCTCATGTCATTACATCTTTTATTTATTTTTTATTCATTCTCCTCCATTGAGTCATCTTCTAGAGTGGTAAAATTAAACTTCAGATGGAATTCCAGGAGTCAGATTTTTACCTTAACTACAGTGAAACCCAGGTTTTAACCTGAGTCTTCTTTTGTAAGACTTAACCACAGACTCGTTTGCCCTCAGAGCCTTGCCAACTGAGCAATCCCATTCCCTACCCAAGCTTAGGTTTTTGAGACTAGCTGATGCTGCACCCTGCTGAGGTGGTGTCAAGAACCAGTCTCAATTCCACTTGTCTCTAGTTTCAGAATGGCTGCGGTTACTGCCTTTCCTGGGCGTGCTGGCCTTGCTCGGTTACCTCGCTGTTCGTCCGTTCCTCTCCAAGAAGAAGCAGCAAAAGGATAGTTTGATTAACCTCAAGATCCAGAAGGAAAATCCAAAAGTAGTGAATGAAATAAACATTGAAGATCTGTGCCTCACTAAAGCTTACTGCAGGTGTTGGCGTTCAAAGACGGTAAGACACTTTGTGCTGCTGTAGGATTAGAGATTGAAACTTGCATATTTTCATCAGTGCTTTGGTGGCAAATTGCTACATGTTGACTTGTTGCTTTTCCCTGGAGGTGTAACATGTTCCTGTTTTTTGAGAATGGCACAGGTTTGGGGTATTTTTCCTCCACTGTAAACCTTTCTACATGCAGAGAGAAACTAGAAACTTGTAAAAAACACAGTAGGATTTTTCTGGAAACACAGTTACCACCTGTCAGTAGATAAAACCAAGTAAGCCTTGTTTAGTATTTGGAAATACATTGCAACTATTTAGAAGATAACTACTCTGTTTTGCAAAAACAATGCTTACAAAGTTGTTTGTATTAGAAAGTAAGGCTGGACCTGTGTTGGTGAGGAAGAGCATATCCCCATCTGGTCCAGAGCAGCCAGTAGGTAACTGGCCCCAAATTACCTCTATGTACATTGGTATTTTTCAGTTACCCTCAATTTCTTTTGAATGTCCTGACTACACTCTGGTTTTGTCCTCTGGTCCAAGTGCTTTCCCGTTTTAACAAAAAAATCTGCTCTGGAACAAAGAAACCCTCTCAGCTGTTCTCCCTTCAGACTAATGACTTCAGTAAAGTATTTCAGCTTTCTTTAAAACAGTACTGTGGCTGCAAATTATTAAATCTATTAAGAGCACCTTTACGAGTGCTACATTAAATCTTAAACTATTTGTGGCTGCAGTGGCTGCTTTACTTGCTGTTCTTTCACAGAAGAGGCTTTGTGTCTAAATTTGTGTCTTAAGAACAGCAATTTTAGGCCCTCACAAACTTAGATGCCTTTTAGCAGTGGTTTTTTTCCTTAGTAACAAGTGTCCTGTGTCTGATAGGAGACGGGGAATTTGATGTTGAAATGGGACATTAAACTGGCAATATTATTAAAGTGCTCTTGGCATACGAAGAAGTATAAAAATCACTATGCAATTGCTGTAGGTATGTAATTCCTCATGTATGTTTTCTTCCAGTTCCCTGTCTGTGATGGCTCCCACAACAAGCACAATGAATTAACAGGAGATAATGTAGGTCCACTAATACTCAAGAAGAAAGAAGTATAGCAGATGCTTAGTTCACTAGATCATGATGGATAAAAAGTCTTTTTATATCATTGTAGTTGCAAAGGAGAGTATTTTATGATGTGATTGGTATGATTTAATCTAATGATTGCTGTCGATTTCTTTTTGGAATAAACTGCATTTAGACAGTGCTAAATCTGTCACTGTTTTGATACTTCATTCTAAGAAGAACTATGTCTGCTTTGTAAAACTGTAAAGTAACTATCTCTGTAAATAAGTCATTTATTTCAACAATAAAATTACTTCCTACAGTTAAGACTTTTGTATGAACATGCAATTATAAATCAATCACTAGCAACCTGATCTAGGGGGAGGTGTCCCTGCCCATGGCAGGGATGTTGGAACTAGATGATCTTTAAGGTCCCTTACAACTCAAACCATTCTATGATTTCCAGATGATAGAAGAGCATCTTTCTGTTGATCTTGTTATGCTGAGAAACCATGTTTTATTCTGCTCTTCAGGAACGCATTTGAGTGCACTTAAGTGGGGGAAAAAAGGATACTAAATGAATCCTTTGTGAATATCCTCAAATGTACCAGTGAGGGCAGGCAGCACAGCCATGTGACTGTGCAGTGCCTAAGGGGGTTGTTTGTTCCTCTCTCGTGCAGAGCAGCCCAGCTCAGACAAACCCCACACAGCTGCCCAGTCTCACTCAGCACCCTAGGTGGAGTGCTGCAGTTCCATACCATATAAACTGAACTATTGAGCAGGTCAACCACTAACATTATCCCTCTATTTTGGTTCCTGTGTTGATAGCTTATGAGCTCTTGTAAGGAAACACAAATCTGCTTCTTGCAAGTTTGCTCGCACTGTAGCTGCTACAGTTTGTAGTGGGGGCTTTCACAGGAGGCACTGGTTAAATTACAGAACCGAGAAAGTAGAGCTGAGCTGTGTCCTTGCCTTGTTACCCCTTCAGAATGATCATTTTGGCAAGTCAGAACTTTCTGGTGATATGGCTTAAGTTCAGGTGCAGGTTAATAATAGGGGAATGGAACACATTTGTAGTATGGATCTGCAATAGCAACACTGTCACAGTTCTTCTGTAGAAAGGACACTTTAGTAATTTTCACAAGATGATGATAAAATGAGGATCACAAGCAAGATAAATGATAATTTCCTTGCATTTCAAATCTGTCACGGTAATACTGTCTCTCATAGCCACATAGTTTTCTATAGAAAAACCTCAAAATCATTTACTAATTGGTTCAAATTATCTACCTAAAGTCTATGGAGACAGACAGCCAAGAACTGGAATGTCTGCAGAGCCCTGTATCACCAGCAATTGAGAGAGCTGAGCCAATTACCTGCTAGGATGTGCTTGGTCCTGTCTTGCCACTGGATGACTTTTCCAACCCAACTTGGAAGCTCCATACAAAGGGAAGCTCCATACAACATTGCCCCTAATGCTAGTAAAGACCACAACTGCAGCTGTAGACTAGGTCTTCACAGTCTGGATGCAAAATCAGGGGAAGCTGAACTTAGCACAACCTGCTGCTTTACTCTACAGAACAGTAACATTTACTTATCCTAGACTACAAATAAAAGTGTAACAGAAATAAGTTTAGAGAAAGGTGCCTGACATGTGACAACTACTAGACAAAGGTAAATGAAGTGCAGCTGGCACAAAATTTGATCTCTTCTACTCTATTTGAAAAGCAAAATGCAAAACCTGCTATCATTCATTGTTTTGTGGCTGTATGAGTGTATTCACAGTAAATGTTAGCCTTCAGTCTAAATTCTCTCTAACACTCATTTTGGCTGAAAAAGAGAGAGCAATGATTATAATTTTTACTGCATTATCACTGCATACCCTGGCCTGTGCAACTTCCTGCTTTCAGATGGCCAGTTTCTGTCTTTTTCCATATGCTGCCTGCTGCTCACCAACAGGAACACACTGCCATCAGACCCTTCAGCTGCAGAGGTTCTTGTGAACCTTCTGGAACTGCACACACATACTGTGCTCAGTACTCTCCCACACTATGTCTGTGATTATATCTGCATGTGTTCCTAATTTTATTTCTTGTAAATAAGAGACTGGCATGGCATGAAGACTTTACTGGCTTGTATTATGGCATTATTAATGAATTATTTAATAGCATTTTGTTAAAAGGGAGGAGGTCTTATATGTCTTGACTTCACCCATACAAACTGATAAAAAGTGAAATCATGTTTCTCAAAGTTAACTGCCATTTAAAATCAGCTGAAATTGTCATGATACTTCATAAAAAAAACCTGCACCACAACAGTGTCTTTAGTTCTCAGTCCAAATATAACATTTCTTTTCATGACAAGATGGAAATGTTTTGTTCCTTTCTGGAAGGCAAGGAGAAGAGCATTAGAAAGCATTAATGCTTTTCATTTTAGATCTGCAGCTCTGTAATAGCTTCAACCTCATTAATTTTGAAGCTTTAATACAACGTGGGGGACATGGGTCCTGTGGGAAACATCCATGTATTGTGGGGAGGAAAGGAAAATGGATTCAATTTTGTTCAGATTAGTGAACAAGATGACACTTTTCATTGGTATAGCTATTCAAGCTGCCAGAATGGTGGGAGTCATCTAATGAATAAATTGCAAATGCACTGAGGTTAAGGGAACATAATAAATACAATTTATGAGATGATGTTGTGATGGTAAGCAAGTGCTAGAGGCTGTCATGAACAAGGGCTGTTTGCCAGAGGTCTGCTTGCATCCTTGTGTTCAAATTTAAAGGACTATAATCCTTCTGTGTCACACTTCTATTATTAAGCAGACTCCAAATTCAGCACAGTGTTCCCTTCTTGGAGGAGGATTCTACTTTTTGTAAAGCTTTATGAAAAAGTGAACTACATAAAGCTTCTACTTCTCTAAGTTTTACTCAAGTAGAATTATTTTATAGACAGTCAGTGGTGAATGGGACACCACACTCATCTGTTAGGTATACAGAATTACCATTTTGAAATGCAACAACCTTCTATTAAAACTACTCCTGTTAGGTGACAGTGCCTCCATTAGCCAGGCAAAGTAGGCAGAAGAGGCACATAAGTCAATGGCTAACACAATAACCACTGAGCACAGCATCCTAACCACTCATCAAGGGTGCAGCTTGAAAGCATCTTCCTTTCTGGTCAGCTGACAAACATGAACTGAAGATTGTACATTCCCGAGAAAACAGAGAGAAGAGTAGTGTGTATAGTAAGAAAAATGGCAACTGTTGGTGGAAAACTTAAAGAATTTCTTGGTATTTTTATCACTGCACTGGAATTGTGTGCTATGGACCTTAAATACTACTTAGAAAGCTTTCTCTTTGGCTTGGAGAGGAAAGCATATACAAAGGCACACACACTGAGCTATACTTAATATATAGCTCAGTATATATTGTATAATGTATATAGAAGCACATATGGAAACTCAGCAAATAATACCATTTCGGGTAGTTTTCTTTTTAAAAGTATTTATGTGTATCTGTGTGTTGCATATTAAAACTGTAAAAACTAAACCATAATTAATTCCCACTCACTAATGCCAGAATATCTAGACAGATCAAATATATTCTATACAGTATCCTGTAAAATGAGTTCAGTGAACTGTCATAAAGAGTGTAGAAATCTGCAGGGAGGCGTTGTCCACCTCTGTTACAGGTACAATGTAGCATCCTTATGAAAAAATAACAGCTACCTGTTTCTGAGGGATGCTGTACTGACTCTACACCTTAGAATGGAGCTGGGAATGACCTGCTTGGAACTAGTAACTCGCATAAAATGTTACAGAGTCAGGAAGATTTGCTGGTATCTGTCAATACTTATAAACCCTAACTGATACCAAAGCTTCCTTGTGACACCTGCCTTCACACAGCAGCCTTTCTGAAGGCAGGTGAGAATGAGGCTTCTTTTGCTTTGCACCATCCCACTCAACATTGCATTTTCAAGGCTGTTATTTCAAGTTTTCTGCATCAGAGGTAAAAAATGCCCTGGCAAATCCAAGAGGCTCTCCACAGTCAATCCAACCAGCCACCTCTTGGAAAAATGACAACTAACTGGCTGTATTTTCAGCAAAGACCTGATTTTCTTTGCTGCAGTTATCCAAATGCAGATGTGAAAAGGATCTGATCATGGCATTTTCTCAGCCAGATTAGTATTAACTTAGGAAAAAGCAACAGCTGACCCATTCATGATTTGAGAAGAGGTCTGCTGCTATTGCAAAGTTCCCCAAAACGAGCTGAGGAACAAAGGGATAACTCCTTGCTACACTGGCCTTGCCCTGTCAGCAAACCCCACCTGAGAAGGCCTCTCCCCTCTGTCTGACAGTGGCCAGCACCAGAAAATAGCCACTCTTAGTGGCTGAAGAGCTGTCTTTCCCTCTCTTGATATCACATTGTGCAAAGGCTGAAGAAGCAACCATCCCAATCCCATAAAACTCTCTCCCGGTCCTTACAAACTCTCCATAGCCCTCATCCCTTTTCCAGTCTCCATCCTTTTTTTCTACCAACACGAGCAACACCTGTATGATGACCAGCTGTCTCTTTCAGCACGTAAGTATCACTTGCTGTTTTTTGCTATGACCTGAGTTGACAGTCCCTTGAAGGCACAAAGGAGTGAGAAAGAAATGCAATAGGAAAAGGCAAGTTTTGGAACATGAATGAGGAAGAAGAGGGAATCACCAACCCGTGGCAGGACTCTGAGTGTCAGCGGTCTCTTATTTAGGAGCTGCATTCTTTGAGCTATTGAACTTGTCATCTCGCAGCTCAGTTTCAACCATCAAGAAGTTATTCACATCAGTCTCCATTTTCTTCTGTTTATATTCCACCTTATGACTTCATTCCTGGAACTGCCTGAACAATTCTGATCCTCTGACTGGCCTCACACCCACACATTTCAACTAACTGTTGACTGCTGACTTCTCAGTGACTCACTGACCAACCTATCCACTATGTGCTCAGCTATTTCAACTCTTAAGGCACCATCAACATACAAATATTTTATAAAACTCCACCAGGGCTGCTTTCAAAATAGTAGACATAACTGATACTTGGGTTTTTTTTTTCCTCCAGAGGAATTACAGACATGCTGTGTTTACTGATCAGAAATGTAAGGACTGAGGGATGATATTCCTGTTCATGTCTGTCTTAGGAAGGTTCACATGCCTCCACCTCTTCTCCAGCCTCAGCACCTTCCTCATCCTCCTTGCTATTCATCTGAGCCTTCTGCAAAAGTCTGGGCCCTGCCAAGCCAATAACCAGGGCTCCAACTGGTGCAGTGATCAAGATAGCCA